GGATGCTGGATCAGATGCCCCAAGTTACAAACATGGTAGGTGACTGTACTTCTTTACCTTGATCTGAACATCAAAATTCAATTTTGAAATTTCTGCCTTTAATTATATTCCAAAAGGCCTATAATAGATATTGTAAAGGGGGCTCCTTTCATTCATCTTTGTCTTAGAAGACCTACATGAGCTGGGTTGCTCCAGGATCCAATCCCAGTGGGTATATGGAAAGAAATAGCTAAAGTTAGGAAGGAGGCAGAGGAGGATAAAAGCAAGATAAAGAATTTGGACTCTGCTGTGTATTTAATGGGCAGCACTACAGGACTTTTCTTTATCTTGAAGGGAGAGTTTTCAAAAGTTCTCTCAGGTAACACAACAGAGGTTTCTGACACAAAATGCAGAGATAATATGCAGTAGTGATGTTGACAATCTGACTAAATGTAAACTAAAATGTAAACAGTGAGGATAATGACTACATGGTATCCTAAAATACTGTAAAAGACAGAATGCCTTCTCCAAAGATGTCCAGGTTTTACTCTCTGGAAACTGTGCTTATGTTATGTTACATGGCAAAGGGAAATTAAAGCTACAGATGGAACTAAGATTGTTAATCAGCCTACTTTAAAATAGGGAGATTACCTGGGCAGAGCTGATATAATCAGAGTCCTGAAATGTGGAGGAGGAAGGTAGGAGAGTCAGTGTCAGAGTGATGGAATGTGAACAGACTTGATCTGCTGTTGCTGATTTTGAAGACAGAGGAAGGGGGCCACAAATCAGAGTTCAGGTGGCCTTTAAGAGCAGGAAAGTGCAAGAAAGAGAATTCTCTCCTAGAGACCCAGAAGAAACGTAGTCCCTCCTGTTCTTAACTGTAGCCCAGCAAGACTTATTTTGGACTTTTGACCTCTACAACTGTAGATAACAAATTTGTGTTGTTTTAAATTACCAAGTTTGTGGTAATTTTTTATAGAAGAGGGAAAAATACAAATACCCCATTCAACCTTAGGACAAAGAAAGCCCTTGATTAAAAATCTCATTGAACATTTACACTCTCTGCTAAAATGTGGGAAATGTCTTTTTACTTTTGGTCAGGTAGGTCTCATCCTTTATGTTTTTCCTAGATGGGGCATACCATATTTTGGTCTTATTGCCCATGGTTCCTTATTCTTTCTATCCAAACACTTAAAGACCTTATAGGGATACAATAATCTGTTGATTAATCAATTGATGACTTTTGTGCCCTTTTCTGTTCAGATAGTTAATTTAAAATCACTCAGTTTTAGGTACTTTAAAATGTAATACTGCATTAGAAGTAGGAGCTTTAGAGTCACACAGACGTAGATCAAATCACAACTCCACACCTTAATGGTAGAGTGCCTTTGAGCAATTTAAAATACCTAAACTTTTTCCTTATCTGTAAAAAGAAATATAATATTGTAGGTCAGGAACCCCAGAATCACACACTCGAGATGAGCATTGTGTGTGATTTATTAGGAAATACTTCTGCAAAAAAAAATGCATATGTTACCAGATTAAGCAAGAGAGGAAAGGAAGGGAGTTCAGGCAAAATGCTGACAACAGCTTGATCCTGCCAGGAAGCACTGAGTATTCTAGAGGCAATAGGACTGGGCTTTTATATTCCATAGGGCAGTTCTTGGGAAAGGTTCACTGGGAAGAAAGTTAACTCCCAGGTGGTTCTCTCTGGCTCTGGGTGCCTGAAGGCTAAGTGAGTCCAGGAGCCTTTGGGCAATCTTCAAGGAGAGTCTCAGGGGATGGCCTATGAGAAATAAAAGAACACAGAAGCTGGGGGTAGGGCACCCGGACAAAATCTAAGGGATTCAAGAAGTGGAGTGCCCCACAAGTATCCACCTCATAGAACTTTTCTAAAGATTGAATGCACTCATGCTTTTCTTTTTTGAGCTTTTATGATTCTTAAAATATTTTTCTTTTGGAATAGCGTGCAATATCCACTGCCATGTTCTGCATATAGAGTGCTCAGCAATGAAATAATTCTTTCTTGACACAAGCATCAAACCCAGAAAGCATAAAGGAGACAAAATAAAAATATCGTAAATATGAAGGATGCCAGAAGAGCAAACAACTGAATTAGTCTAAATCTAACACTTGAAAATGTTTGTAATTTTAGTTGTATTTTTCATATAGCTGGAAACTTGAACTACTTCAGAATACAAACTGTTTTTATCTCTGAAAAGCTAGTCAAAGACAACCAACCAACCAACCAATAATATATTTATTTGATGACAACAAATCTTGGTGAAAATGCTGTTTTTACCCCCAGGAAATAATATAAGTATCCAGAATGCATGCAATTTTTTTCTTAAAATGTCTCCTTCTTCTTTATTACTCTCTGTTCCTATACTGATAATTAACATCATTAATTGTGATAGCACTTTACAGTTTTAAAGTGCATTCACATTTAAGTGCATTTAAATGTTTCCAAATTTTACATGGCCCTGACCAGTGTGACTCAATTAGTTGTGTGTCATCCCACAAAGCAAAAGGCTGCTGGTTCAATTCCTGATCAGATCACATGCCTGGGTTCTGGGTTTGGTCCCCAGTTGGAGCACATATGAGAGGGAGTAGATCGCTGTTTCTCTCTTTTTTTTATAAGTTTTTAAAAAATTTTTAAAAGATTTTATTTATTTATTTTTAGAGAGGGAAGGGAGGGAGAAAGAGAGAGAGAAACATCAATGTGTGGTTGCTGGGGGCCTCTGCCTGCAACCAAGGCATGTATCCTGACTGGGAATCAAACTTGAGATACTTTGGTTTGCAGCCCGCACTCAATCCACTGAGCTACGCCAGCCAGGGTGCTGCTTCTCTTTCACATCAATATTTTCCCCCATCTCTTTTTCCTTCTCATCCCCTCTCTCTAAAATAAACAGATAAATAAGTAAATATATAAATAAAATATTTTTAAAATTTACATGATCCTTACAAATCTTTGTCATATATATTCCCACTTCCTTTTTACAAATGAGGCAACAAGCTTTGTGAGTTTAAGTGACTTAGTTAAGGTTGCACAGCTAAAGATAGGATGCCAACTTCTGACTCCCATGATAGTGTTCTACTGTTTAGCCTTGTATCAGTCAAGGTTCAGTCAGGAATCAGAAATCACACCATAATTGGAACAAAGGACATTTAATATAAAAAAATATTATTACCTACTAAAAGCAGAGTAACTACTAAAAGAAGAGATCACTGAAGCATTTAGGAATAACCAATTTAGGGAACAGCCATGAACTCCAGGGTGGTAGGATAGTATTCAATGAACAAGTAACTTAGAAGAATCACACCCCCACTCCCATCCCTATCCTGCAGCCTAGAATGAGAGACAGACCTCATTGGAGATAATGTGCCTATGTCCCACTTGATGGCCAAGAAATTTGTTGGGGTGTTACAGACTGGGCTGGCCAGCTCAGGTGCCAGTGAAACTTGCTAGGAAACTACCCATTGGGATGCCAGCAAGGCTTACTGGTAAGACAAACACTAAGGAACTGTTCAAACTTACTGGAGGATGTGAAACACTGGTTTCTTGCACACTAGTGGCCAGAAAGCACACACTAACCACCACACCACAGAAGCAAAAAGAAAAGCACTAGAAGAAGAGAAGTCCCCTTTATATGTAGTGTCCCTCTAGCACCTTCTACTGAGTAGGCCTAATACTATTAAACCAACTAACAACAAAGAAATGTTTATAGGTTCTAGTTCTAATAACACAATTCAGGACAAATGAAATGAATTAGGAGCTGAGAAGCATTCAGTTAACTAATAATACACTTCCATGACTCTCCTGGGTTCTTGAGGGTAAAATGCTTTTATTCCTAACTCCTGATCCTTTTGTTTTTGTTTATCCTAATTACCCCTACAATAAAATTGAGACGAAACCTTTGGGGACACTATGTACTAATTGCTGGTGTGACACATTGTAAGTGCATGGGGAGAGAAACAATGCAGTGACTGAGACCAGGTCTGGAATCAAAAAACTTGGGTCTGATTATTTGCTTTGCCATTGACTAAATTTGCAGCCTTCTCAATTTTCTCATCTGTCAAATGGAATGATAACACTATCTACCTTATTAAGATATCAGGAGAAATGAACATGTAAAGCCTATGGGACAACAGCAAGCACGTAGTTAGAAATTGATTAACTATTAGCATCAGCCACACGTGTTAGTCTGTAATTAGTGTTTAAAAATACTTATTTAGTTCTCATTACTAACTTCCACTTAGGATTGTGTCTCATAATGCTAAAAGTCAACTTCCTTGGGTCAGTCTGGGCTATGCTAGAAAAAGTCTTGTGTACTCCTGGGCATTATCTGCCACTCTGTTTTCAGATCCTGGCACTTCCCCTGGCTTAGTGAATAATCCCCATCAGTCGCAGCCAACTCACAGGGGATCTGTTTTCTCAAGTGAAAAAAGACACGGTTAAACAAATCATCTTTGTTTCAGATCTTTTCCAGTTCTGACTAAATTTAATCCCACTTTTCCCCAAATAATGAGTTATATTTGAGAGGGAAAAGGAAGGAAATTAACATTTTAAGTGCTACCCACCTGAGTCAGGCAAGCACTTTGCATGCATTAACCTGATTTCATCCTCATCACTTGCCTATCAGATTAGTACTTCTAACCCTATTAAACAAATCAGGAAACTGAGGCTCAGAAAGGTCAAGCAATATACTTAAGATCAAGCTCTTGGTGAGAAACAGAGCCTGCATTCTAATCTGGCCTTTCTGTACCACTTGCCTCCCACACTATCTTCCTATCAGACATCAAGATTCCTAACCGAAAAAGTATTTTTCATGCTTTGTTTTAAAGATGTGAGTAGGTGTGCGACATTTTTTTTGTCTTAAACGTATCATTTGAAAGTAGAACAAGTGAAATTCATTTACCGATTACAAGAATGTCTAAAACCTCGCCTAACACCTCACAGGAAATTCGCGGTTGAGTCAAAGTCAGCAGCCCTCTTGCATCCTTGCGCCCCTTGTCCTCACCTCTCTTCCAGGTTGAAAACTTGGTGAAGGGAAAGGAGCCCGGTGGTGGGACAGCGAGCCCAGTTCCAGCCCCTATTTGGCCGCTAGATTTCCCTCGGAGCCTTCTTTTCCTTCTCTGTAGCAGGAGGTTCTCGGGCCAGGTGATCTTAAGGTTTCTTCCCAAGCTACAAGCCCAAGTCTGAGGGCTTCCCCGGATCCAGGCGTACCCCTGCCGGCGCCGCCGCAATTCCCGGGCTACACTCAATTTCTCTGGGGAGGCTGCTCCCTGCACGGCGCCGCAACAACCCCGATCTCCCCCCCCCCGCCCCCACACTATCCTGCAGCTCCTTTCTTTCCCCAACTCCGCCCTGCCTTCAGTCCTCGCCCCAGCGCGAAGCACGGGCTGGGCCAGTCCCCGGGAAAGGGATGCTGCATGCCACTACGCCCTCCGGCGTCAGGGTACCCGGCCTGCAGTTCTCTAACTTTCCGCTCCTCTGAGGGGGAATTTTGAGAACTCTGCCACGAGTCTGACTGAAAATATGAAAAGACTAAGTCCTTTCAAACTGCAGCCTCCTACGCCTGCCTCCCCCGGCTCCCAGTGCCCAGGCCTCTCCCGCAGTTCCACTGCGGGCCCGCAGACAGGTCTCACTGCAGGATCCCGCGCCAGGGGGCGGGCGGCGCACCAGCAGTAGCGCCAGCAACGGGTCGCGCTCAAATCCAGGTCTCGCCGTTTTCCTCCCGCCCAGCCTGCGCCTGGGCTTCACGGTGTCCTCTCGGCGCTGCAGCCTAGCTCACCCTTCAGCAGCTGTGATACTGAAGAAAGGTCCGCAATCGGCTCTCAGCTTCGCCTGCCGGCCTCCCCACGCCGGGCCTTGCCTCCCCTCCTCTCCCGCTCCCGCCTCCTCTCTCAGTCTGCCAGGCGGACCCAGCCTGCCTTTCTCTCAGCCTTCACTACCGGGTCAAGCTGAGGAGGGGGGGAGCGGAGACGGCGGCTAAGCGGCCCCCAACCTCGAGCGCGCGCACTCCTCCCTCAGTCGGCTCCCTCCGCCTCAGTTCTCCCTCCACCCCTCCTGCCAATACTGTACAACTAGTACACACACAGGATCTGCCGCTGCCACTGCAGCTGCCATGGACATCAACTAACACCACACACCCAGGCGCGCGCGCGCTCCCAGTCGCACCGCGCAGGAGTGGCCCCCGGCATCTCTACCCTCCTTCCCCACCCCCACCCCACCCGCTCACCAGCTCCGCTATTGCTTGCTGAGGCTGCCGCCGCCGCCACCACCACAGCTCTCCTCTGCTGCGGGGCCACAGCCTTGAGTGTCATTCAAGGGACAGCACAACCTCACCCAAGCTTTCCTACCTCTGCCCAGCCATCCCTCTCATCCTTCCCCTTCCTCGTCCACACTCCATCCAAAGAAGAGGGAAAGCACCGAACAGAGAGGGGAGGAAGGCAAAGTCTGCGCTTCTCACCTTTGGACCCCTGGCTCCTCCATCCTTATTCTCTCACCACCAACACCCCTACCCCAGAAGAACCCCTCAGGAGCTGAGGCGACTCGCCCCACTGCCATGTCCAAAAGCTTGAAAAAGAAAAGCCACTGGACTAGCAAAGTCCATGAGAGTGTCATTGGCAGGAACCCGGAGGGCCAGCTGGGCTTTGAACTGAAGGGGGGCGCCGAGAATGGACAGTTCCCCTACCTGGGGGAAGTGAAGCCCGGCAAGGTGGCCTATGAGAGCGGCAGCAAGTTGGTGTCGGAGGAGCTGCTGCTGGAGGTGAATGAGACCCCCGTGGCGGGGCTCACCATCAGGGACGTGCTGGCCGTGATCAAACACTGCAAGGACCCCCTCCGGCTCAAGTGTGTCAAGCAAGGTGAGCGCAGCAGGGCTTTGCCCGGCGGTTGGATCGCTCCAAGCACGGGGCAATGGAAGGGGGGGGGGTCGCTGTGGAAGGGGGTGTGTTGTACTGTGGTGGGATGAGATCGAGAGAGTAGTGACGGAGCAAGTGAGCTTTGCGAAGGATGTGAATGGGGGGCTTAGTGAAAGGGAGGGCGGGTTTCGATGTGGCGTGCAACTTTGTTTGCGCAGTTTACCTTCCCCTGTGGAAGGTGTTTGGCCTTGTCTGACCTCAGAGGTGCGGGCAAGCTCCCAGGGCAAATTGAATGTGCGTCAGTGGCATCGTCCGCAGTGGATAAAGAGCTTTCAGAAAAGGGAGGGAGGGAGAAAGAAAAGAAGGAAGGAAAGAAAGAAGGAAAGTAGGAAAAAAAGACGGAGGGAGAAAAGGAAGGAAGGAGCAACTTGAGGGTGCAGCGGCATCACCAGCAGGGCGGAAAGGAGCAGAAGGTGGCTGGGAGAGAGGAGAACTACGCCCTCCCCCTACCCCACCCCGTTTGGGAAGCTGGACCGTGGATGCCTTGCTCCTCAGAGGTCCTCTAAGGATCCCTGAGCCACTACTTGACGAAGAAGGGAAGGGACCCATTGCTTTGGGCGCTTTGATCGATCTTCCTTAACTTTTTCCCTGCTTCACTCCTCTGTCCCCCCTCCCCCGCCCACGGTCTTGTCATGTGGGCACCGCGCGCGTCACGTGCGCACTGACTAACCCGGGCGCTCACCCCGAGCTGGCCGCAGGAACAGACTCTCAAGGAAGGCGAGGCGCTAGGAAGGGGTTCTAATGTTGGGACGCTGGGAGGAAAGAAATGGTTACCCGAATGTACTCTACCTACGCAGACATTGTCCTCTTTGAGTGAGAGTCCTCTGTCGAACTGTCCGCTGGTTTAGGATTGGAGGAAGGGGGTCATCATGTTTCTGAGGGCGTGAGATGGAAGCTTGGCTTGCCACACAGATGAGCTTCCTTTGAATTGAAGTCTGTGATGGGGCTTAGGGAGACTGGGATCTTGCAGAACTCGCACTAATTTTCTCTTTGCTTGAGAGAAAATTATGCTTTTGAAAGAAGGAAGAGTGAGGTAAAAGTTTCTTGTAAAGAGGACAATTTTAACTAAAATAAAGTATCGTACCTTTGTTTTCCACACATGATTGCATATGTTTATAGCTCACATGCACATTTAATGTGTGGTATGTATTTATGTGCATATTTTTATCAAGGTAAAGGTTTGTTGGAGGTTTTGCATTGTTTGCCCTGCTCAAAAGGTGGAATCCAACATATCATTGCCTGCATTTTGAACAACCACTTAATCTGACTTCAAGAAACACTCCTAAAGAGATGTTCTTCTATATAAAACCAGTTTTAAAAGTAAACAAGTGAAAACGATGTCTCAGGCAAAATTCCTTAATTGTCATAGAAGAAACTGTTTTCATTGGGGATTCTTGAGTATTAACAACTGGTGACTTGAGAAAGACTAATGTAAACAGCCATGAAGGTCAGCATTGCTCAATAGTGTGTGGAACCGAAGAGTATGAGTTAGGTAGGAAGACAAATAGAGTAGTATTTTTCAAGATGACATACTAGAGGCTCAAATATAGGGAGTCATGTTAACATATTTGCTGTCATAATACCATCTCAATAGTAGTGGATATAAATGTAAAATTCTGGTTTGGGCCAAGAAATTTAGTACACAATTAAAGACCATGGTTTTATTGGTAACAAACTTGGTATTTGTAGTAGAAAGTGGCTGCAAAGTTAATGCAGTATTAAATTTGACAAATGATGGTATCCTGAGGGAGGTGATTGTCCTATTGTAGTTTGCAACGACCACATTTTAATGTTATATTTATTCTGAGCACTACCTTTTGAGATGGACCTTGGCAAAATATAACTCTAGCAACAAGAATGTATACAAAAAATAAAGGGAGATTATTCGGTATTGTAGATAATTTCTATCAAATACATTGGAAATATTTAACTTTTAAAACTGAGGATATGAAAGCTATTATTAACTATTGAAAAACTATCAGGTAAGAAAAGGAACTCTGACTATCCTGTGATACTCTACAAGACAAAACTAAGATGATTCTATTGTAATTGTTAAAGGGTGAAGCATCTTTATCTTCAGGAAGATGAGGTTTATAACAAAGCTTTCCCAAAATCTTATGAATAATGAATTCATAAGATCCCATCATTGTGGGTATTTATGAGGAGGCCAAAGTGACCATATGCCATGGGTTCCTATGTAAGAGGGAAACCTAGGCTAGTTATTTAAATCTTGCCATGATTCTGTCCAAGGTAGCCTCTGATCATTCAACTTCTGTATTATATTTTATTTGGAAGACTATTGCTTGTAGAACACTGTGGAATGTATGCATTTGAAGTGATATTTTAGGAGGGAAGTTCTTTTCATTCTACATTAACCTGAAATTCCAGGCTTCATTGGGTCATTGATGCTTGATGCTGGTAATAATGTTCACAGAGCTCCCACAGGAGGCTGATTCACCACCTGAATCACTACTGACCAATAAGTAAGTAAATAAATAAATAAAATCTTTTAGCTTTTGTGAAAAATATAATCCTCCTTTATATTCTAAGTAAGATGATTCATATACACTAATTGTTGTTGAAATCATCCTTTCCCTTGTCAAATAATAAGTGTTTAGTTTACTTACCATTGTAAACAAAACGAAATTTTCAGCACCTTCGATGTAGTGCCTGGGTGTCTTGGGTTTCACTACAAACTTCACTTGCCGAAAAAATCTATATAAACTTTTGGCTTGGTAGACTTATTTCTAGAGAGATAATAAACTAGTATAGCTAAAAAACTTAAACATGGTTTGTTTAGTAGTTGTATTTTTAAATATTAATGAGATAATTGATTTTTGAGTATTTATTCAAACATGGGGTATTACATAGAAACTACATGCAAAATCAGTTAAACTTAGGCAGGATTCGCAAAGAAAAACACATTTGAATAACAAGAACGTTGATAAAATGAACACCAGATATAATTGCATTGTTTACTCAGTTTTTCCAAAAATTGTTTATTGATTGATTTGAGAGAGAGAGAAACATCAATTTGTTGTTCCACTTATTTATGCATTCATTGGTTGATTCTTGTATGTGCCTGATTGGGGACCAAACCCAAAACCTTGGCTTATTGGGATGACACTCTAAGCAACTGAGCTACCTGGCTAGGGTCTGTTTACCCAAGTTTTATTTACTTGTTTGCCTACTTTTACATTAGAGTGTTTCATAATTTTAAATTTTAATTTTAAAATAAGTTGAATGATTTGGATTTGAAGACATATTAGACAAAGTAGATTGTTTTCCTACACTATTTAAATGTCTTTATAACCATTTCAAAAAGCCATTCAATTAAATTCTGGGGATTCTCCCCTTTTTAAAAAGTCCTCATTGA